AAAAGGATGATAAAAGAAAAAAAGGAGGACAGAGGGGAAAAAAGAGGACAAAAGTAAAAAGAGGACAGAGGAAAACAGGAGAGAAAAAAGAAAAGAAAAAATTAAGAGAAAAAATAGAAAAAATGGAGAGAGGGAAAAGGGACAGAGAGAGAATAAGAGAAAAAAAAGGGGGGAAAGAAAAAAAGCTCAAAGAAAGGAACATTTTTTTATAGCTCCCTTGTAAGAACATGGCATTTGTTGAACTTGAAAAATGTTTAAAATAAGATATCACATAATTTCCCACACATCCTCCCTCAAGAAAGGAAGCACAAACAGGTGTTAGACATATGATATTCATGTTGCTGAACATCCTACCAGAAAATGCTCAAGCTACTATAATAAGCGCAGTATTAAAAATTTTACATAGAGACATCTTTTATCACTGCTTTTAAAGGAATGCTGTAAGTTCTGCTCTGAAGAGAGTATCTGTAGCTGTTTAACTGTTGCTCTGTTGGGAACCGCGAGAAGAACGACACAGACTCTCTTGTGGAGTCGAACTGGAGAATTTCTCTTTGTTTATTACCTCAGGTCTTTTTTATAGACTGATATGTGAAAGTACAGAAAAGTAAAACTCTTATTGGTCAGTAAACTAACACATCACCATCATTGGTCAGTGGGGTTCACCACCCCTCGACCTTCTCTTGCAAGAAAACAAGGAACAGACAAACAGCACCTGCAAGGCTGTTTTCCATCTCTGAGGATTGTTTTAATTCCTCTTTGTGATTTCCCAGGCCACTTTCTCAGGCAAGACTGAGAGAGCTATGTGGCCTGCTATTCCACAGGCACCATGCTCCATGCTTCACAGTTAGCATCCATATTTAACTACGCTGAACACTTTGCAGAAAACTGCGAACAAGGTCAAATTCCTGTTCACGGATTCAAGCTACAATCTGCTACAATTTAACCAAAGTTTTCCGACTTTGTAGAATTATGAGAAGAGAACACCCCAAACCTTGCTCAGACAGGCAGCACACCTGAACACGGGTTTTGGCTGAGATTGCCTGCTACATGAACACAGGCTCCTAATATTCTGTACCAAAAAAATATCTGTACTAGCAATAGTGACAGCAGGACCAGGGCAGTGACTGTTCCCTGTGCTGGAACACTGCTGAGGCACCTCCAATCCTATGTCAAGTACTAAGCCTTTACCTAAATAAAAAAAGATACTGAAGGCCTGGGAGCATGTCCAGGGAAGGGTCTGGAGGATAAGTCTGATGAGGAGCAGCTGAGGGAGCTGGGGGGACTCAGCCTGGAGAAAAGGAGCCTCAGGGAAGACCTTATCGCTCTCCACAATCCCTGACAGGAGAGGGCAGCCAGGGAGGGTTGGGCTCTGCTTACAGGGAACAAGGGACAGGATGAGAGGAAAAGGTCTCAAGCTGTGCCAGGGGAGAGTCAGGGTGGACACCAGGGAGAATTTCCTCACCAAAAGGGTGGTCAGGCGTTGGCAGGGACAGACCAGGGAGGTGGTGGAGTCCCCACTCTGGGAGGTATCCAAGGAACAACTGGATGTGGCACTCAGTGCTCTAGTCTGGGTGACCAGGTGGGAATCAGTTACAGGCAGGACATGATGGTCTTGGAGGTCTTTGCCAACCTCTGTGACTGTGATCGTGTGAACCCCCAACAGCAGTCATCCAGCTGTTGGCTTCTTCATGCAACTCCTCAGAGCACGCTTCACCTGGCATCATCAAGTAGTACAAAACACACATTGCTCAAGACAGGCTAATTGCAAGAAAGGTTAGTTTTAAGAATATCTTCAATTACCACAAATGTACTATGTAAACAATTATGGGAAATAAAACTAGGCTATGGAGTTCAACTCAAAGTAACATGGGAAGTAAGCAAGGAGGAAGAGTGGGGACAAACAGCTAACTGTTGCAATACCATAAAAGAAAAGACTAAAAATGTTTGTGTTTTTTTAATGCAAGTACTAAAAAGAAAGGAGACTCTTATTACAGGGACAGCTGGCTTGTAACATGGGACTGGAAAATCTCTGAATGCTGTATGTATGAATTCACTATTTTTCAATCTACCTGAAGTTTCAAAGAGCTATTTCTGGACAGACATTCTAACTCGTCTTCAAGATACACTGAACTGAGGAACCCAATTAACCATCTATATAACCCCTGGGTAAACTATTTTTAAAGTATCACTCCTAAGAGAGAGGATGCAAAGGAATCTAGATTTATTTGAATAAATATCAGCAACAGTTTTTAGTCATACCACTTTGCACAAAGTGAAAAACCTCCTTTTTTTTTTCTTTGATCATGTCCTCCCCCTTAACTATCACACTGGTCACAGCAGTGGCCAAAGAATACATATTTTATTTCATTTCTGGTTTTAGTTTTAGCCATTTGAAATTGTACTACACTGAACTTTCTTACAAAAATTAATACACCACTAACTAGCCTTAACAGCTACCAATGGATTAGAGTGCAGACCTCCCACAGATCAGGTTAAATGGATTTTTCAGTCTGCAGAAAAATTTTCAACCTCATCTTTGTAAATACAATAATGTTGGAACTTCAAGTTTATTTAGCCTATAATGATTTATTCTGGGAATTTTTCAGAGGTACGTGATCTGAAACGTTATTTACTGCTGTTCACCCCACAGTACAGCCTTACCTCCTCCTTGAACTTCATTGTTATGGAAGCAACATGAAGGTATTTTAAAAACCTTAAGAACAGACACAGGCATCAAGAGGGATCATCCAATCCAAGCATCCATTTGAGGGAGGAAGTGATATACACCCAAATGAACAACCTGAAATACTGCACTTAACACCTAATTATCCGCAAGAACAAAATACACTTGGTACTCTAGCCCTGTGACCTGATTTCCCTTATGAAACATGAGAATCATGAAACAGAATTACAGGAAATAAACACAGTACCATTTACTAATTTCATGGGTCTCTTTTGTTTCAGCAGTGCTATCCAAGCCCAATTTAGCAATTTGCTTCAGTATAACTAATAATCCAGTCATATTTATCTGTTAGCTTCTGAAGTAAATCCTGCAGAAGGAACTGGTGCTCTAGGCACTACATTAATTTCCACTTACAACAAAGTTCACCAGATCAATCAGCAAGGAATTAGCAACACTTGCTTGTCTACAATTTTTTTGTTGTTGTACTAACATACATGTTAAAAATAAGCCATGCTCATCACAGAGGTTCCCCAATGAGATCAATGCTACTTACAGCATCAAATGAACCACCTATCCTGGGTCAATACAGCAAATCTGTTATAACTCAGATGTATTTACTGAATGTCTGTGTAGAGTAACAGTCACAAAACAACTTTCACCAAAAACCTGTTAAAAACTGCCTTGTCAATGCCACCCTTATATTCAGTGTAGGTAAACAGAGATTTTACACCATCCTCTGGCTAGGATAAAGTGCCTGAAGCAGATAATCAAATTACCAGGGTTTACCCCTTTTGCTTTTTGCTCAATAGCACTCCCTCTCCTTCAAACCCATGAGCAGAGAACAGCACACACATGTGCCATCCCAGCAAGGATGGACCAGCAGTCATGAAGCCAAAGGGAAGACCTCAGGCCTTGCCTGTATCCAGCAATGAGCACCCTCTGCTGCTCCCTCTCCTGCAGGTGCTGGGCAGTCCCTCTGGCAGGCGGCATTCTTACACAATTCCTGATGCTTTGAATGGGCTGAAGGTGGCAAGCTTTTTTTCCCAGTACAGCTTTTCGAGCCCACTGCTGTCCAAGGCCACAGAAGGGACTGTGACAGGCTGGATAGAAACAACATTTTTGGCTCCCATCACTTTTTCTTTCATCTTGCTAGTCTGTAAAGCAGTTCACAACTGTGGGACAGGACACTCTTGCTCTCCATGACCTTTTCCAGTCCTTCCAGTTACACGGCTTGAAATTCACTCCTGTGGGCCATCAGTTCCTCCCCTTTGGGGCCACTGAGCAAGCCCTTTTTGCCACTCACAGAGCTTATAGTTTGGTTCTTCCCACACTGAAGGGCTGTGCTGGCATCACCAACCCTTCCCTGGCAGCAGGATTCCAGCAAGAGGTCCAGGAGTGAACCTGGGTTAAGAACAATACCCTCACGTGCCCACAGGGCTTCATTTTGAGCCAAACATAGCAGCAAAAGGAAACCCAGTCTCCTGGACTTCACTGCTCCCTCACAGCTTCATAAAGGTGTTTGAAGGTAAGTTCACCTGCTTTCACAAAATGAAAGAAAAGCAGCAGCAGAAATCCAGTAATAAACCTCATCTGAGGAACAGGAGTGAAAAGAAATAACAGACACACAAGAAAGCAAACATGCTTTACTGACTGCAACCACAGAGAGTCACTACTGCAGTCCAATGTATACAGCTCCACACACACACCGGGAAACACAGATTCTGAGGAGAATTACTGAAAACCCTTAATATCCAGTTAAATGAGTAACAATAACTACCACTAGTGAGGAAGGGTAACAGTCACATTTTCTCTTCACTGCATTGAAAGAAAGAACTCATCTGTTAAGGAAATGTGAACACTACTCAAAACAGTACTTAGTTCTTGGCAGATATCATCCTCAATAGCCAGCAACCATGGTACCCAAATGAAAATTAAAAATAATTTTTAAAAAGTCACAGCCAAAATTTGCTGCCTAGAATCAGATAAATTATTTGAAGCATCAGCAAATAAAAAGACAGTAAAACAGCAGAATGTATCTTGAATGGAGGTACTACAGGAAATTTGCCTTTTATAAAATCAAATATCCTGCTTCATATTCAAGAGTTTCAACATATCTTTCCTTTAGCAATCTATAAGAAACAGTTCAGTGAAAAAAAAGCCGAACTAGACTTGAGGCTGAGACCTTTTTCAAGCAGTCTAAGAGAGGGCCAATTCTTAACTGCAATTCAAAAAAAATGCATCAGTAAAGTGACATCATACCACCCATATAAAAAAAATATAGTGTAGGCCATACATTTAACAAAATCCCCAGCCTTACCAGTCAGTAACAATTCCTCTTTGATCTGTAGTCCATGAAGCAGCTTTATCAAATGGACAGATGTAGAGATGAGACCCAAGTTCCTGTTATTAAATTGGGAAAAAAACACAATAATTCACTCGATATGAAATACACTCAAAATTTAAAAGGCTTCTCATCAAAGTTAACAGGAAATCTTTAGCATCTTCAGGACCTCTGAAACAAAAATAGTTTCTCCTATGTTATTGCCTGCCTATCAGTAGCCACATTACTACCACCAGAAGCAAATAAAAGGGGTTTATTGCATCATCCTGTACTTTGCCAATTTTGGGCACAGAACCTTCAGAGCTAAATACCCCTTCCTCCCTTTTTGCTATTCTTCCTATCAGACATTAAACCTTAGCAAGTTATTCCTATAATTTAAACAGCTCTATTTGCATAAAACCTTTGCTTTGTTTGGAGATCAAACATCCAGAACAAGAGTCATGTATTTTACTTCATAATAAACTTGGTGGATTTTCAATGCCAACAAAGCAGTTAGTGACAGCTACCAAAAAAAACCAGAGCCAGTTCAAAGGGAAACATATGCAACTCTCACAGTGAAGCAGAGAAGGCCAAGTAATCATTTATTCTTTCTCCAGTGAGGAGGAATCATAGGTAAGACTCTCAGAATGATTTGCACTGCAATTTCTGTGGCCTTAACAGAATTCTGCCCCAGCACAGAAACTAAGCCTTGATCCCATGTCAAAATTACATTTAGTTCAATAAATCAAATTTGACAAGTCCCGAGAAGCCAATTTTTAAGCCTGTAGTTCCCAATAATTATTTGATATAACCAACTTGTGACACGTTTGGGGGCTTTCTTCTGTTGGTTGGTTGGTTTGGGGTTCTCGCGGGACATCTGGGCAAGAAGTGTGTTTGTTGCTATTTTGTTGGGTTTTCTAACAACATCAACCAGACTATCAGGTATTCACCAACTACAGCTGGTTGTATCACAAACATCGCTTCAATGTTGCAACAGACACAGGCAAAGAATAGAGAGGCTAAATAACTTAAGGAGCTAGATTGACTCAATATCCTTTAAACTCAACTTGCCTGTATTTATGTATCAGGATTAATATGCACAGTTCTATATGTGATGTATGTTTTGCCAGAAAAACCAGACAGATCTAAATTAACTGTAAAATACATACTAATCCTGTAACTGATTATTAAGACCATTTACTTATTCATTATGTTATAAAAAATTAAAGAAAGAGAAAAAAAGGATTGTTCTACAGTCAGGCTTCCAACAGGGTTATATCACTTGTGTAATCAATTCATGTAATGGACCCAAACACTTTGTCCTATTATTGAGCAGGACCCTAAACTGACCTTATAAATAGGTCAGCTATTTTTGTTTCTTGCATATTTGAATTCAAGTGATTGCATTAAGCAGGAAATGCCAGTTAATAAATCAACTAACACAGCAGTGTAAAATAAGAATCTCTTTTATAAAACCACACAAACATCAGTAGGTGGCATGGGCTAAAAGGGATCACAACTGTACCTCATGACATGTTGATTCTTGGCACACTCAACACAGGCATTCCTCAGACATCTGAAGCACTCTGCTATGAGCAGCAGGCAGGTGTCTAGATCTGCCAGTCCACAGGAGTCCTTACAGGTCTGCTCAATGGTACTTGAGGTGTTCGTCAGGATTTCCAGGACATTCCGAAATACACTTTCTCCTGCTGTTTGTCTGAAATACAAAAATTTGAGGTGAAGAAAAAAAAATTCACTCCTACCAAAAAGCCTATGACAGACACTTCTTATTGTAAACCCAAAGATATTTCTGCAGCAATCTTTAACTATTCAGAGTATTTAACTACTCACAGTCTTTCTAGTAGAAAGAACAAAATATATCACATAATCCTTCCATCAGCCTTTTCAGAAAAAGGGCTGTAGGAGAGTTGTGTTACCTCAGTATTCCTTGTGATTTTTCAACAGCTCTTTGGAATTTTAATGTAAAGGGGAAAAAAAAGTTCTCCCTAATACATATTGATGGCAGGTTTATACATGACACTGCATGCTACTTTAAGAGGAATTACTTTAATTAATGAACACAGTTTATATGTCCAGCATTAGCTGTTTCTGAAGAATATGGTATCAGAAGCTCCAGCTTGCTGCAGATTTCCTGAGGGGGAAAGGTCACCGAGAAAGCTGGTAGCTGCATGAACACCATTCAGAAGTGTGTGAATCACAGTCAAGGGAAAAAGCCAACTCTGTCCAACCTCAGCAGATAACCACCCAACACAGAAGGTACCAGGCCACTTCCTGGAGCACCCAGACCAAGGAAAAGAGCACTACCAAGCTGCATATATGCAGCATTAGCTGTATGACTGGATGACAGCTGAGGCTGCTGCTCCATGAAGATTCATCAGCCTCCCAGGACTGACACACACATCTACACATGATCTGCCACAGAGAGATAAACAACATTTCCAAACTACAGCTATTTGTCTACACTGCCCTGCTTTTATGTCCACCAAAGAGATGAGGGCAACACATGATAAATGTTGCTAACTCAGTTCTGATACCACATGCTGATGGAGAGAAGCCACACCAGAGAGCGTTTATGGCACTGCTACAGGAAAGTTCAATACATTTGCTCATCCAATACTTCTGAACAGGGTCAGGAAAAGGAAATCCAGATGCAGCCTCCTTGAACTTTAAACAAACTTGTCATGTACTCAGGATCAAACAGAAGAAAGTGAGATGAGAGGAAATGTAAAGTAGCATTAAATAAAATGTTCATACAGAAAACTCTTCCTAAAGGAGAATTAGAAAACCTCTTGATCAAACAGTACTGGATGATATAGTATTACCTGCATTCTGCTGCTCACTCAAATGCCTACACATTTGCACAATTCTACTTTCTCTTTTGTAAGTGATCATGCCTATAAATCAAACCATAGAATCATCAAGGCTGGAAAAGATCCTTTAAAGATTATCAAGTTCAACATTAACCAAACACTGCCAATCCACCTTAGCCCTAAGAATACCCTTAGACATGTCTGGTGACTTTATTTCCCACCTCTGCTCCTGCCATGTTTTCTCACCTGCACTAGACAAAACTCTCTTAGTCTTTACTCACAGTTCACATTTTCCAAGTCCTGTATCAGAGTTGTTGCTCCAATAGTGACATTTTTATGCTAGGCTACATCTTACTGACAGTACAGTGACCCAAATATAAAAGTCTGTCAGGGTGCGGAGGGGACTTACGAAGAAGGGAGAGTGTTGCAAAAAATACAACAACAAACACTATTATCTAAATTAGCACAACATTAGGTTTCATGTCTCCAGGAAGTATATATTTTATTCTGCAATCTCACAGTTGCTCAAGACCAATATATTTACATACTCTCCATCTACACTGAAACATTAAAAAATCCACCACTGCATTACTGAGAATTACAGGGAAGAAGCTACATTTTACAGTGGTGCAGTACTGCAGGGAAAATACCAGTGGCACAAAAAACAACAACCAAACACAGAGCTGGCCCTCAGTCATAAAGAAAAGTGGAGCTTACACAACCCAAATCAAAGTTTGGAATTTGGTTTTGGTTTCAAGACCAAAGAAAATATATTCATGGAACTTGAATCTTCAACTCACAAGAGGCAGTGCAGCTCCTGCCACTTCATGATGTACCAAGAGAAGACTCAGTGGCTGACATACCATGGTCCCCATAGGAAATGCAGTAGAGACAAGTTTATCTAAATTTCTTTATTTTCAGAAGAGCTAAGGTGTGGTAAGGTAGTCCCCAGCCAGGGAGTGCTTTATACATTGAGCAGAACCATTAGCTCTTCCGAGTTCTTAAAGTCTGACATTACTCTAACACGGGACTACTCAGCCCACTGTATTTCCTTCATATCAGCCTGTGCCTTTTGTTGGATTATCCCATGAAATCAGTCATTTCCTGACCCAATTACAAAGTACAGAACCCAGTGGTCACTGCAAGACATGCTACTGTACAACATCCACTTATTTAAATTGGTAAAAGAGAAATAAAAGAAGCCAGAAGAACTTTTGTGCGTATTTTTGTGACTCCACAGGTAAAAGGACACCTGACAGTTATTCTTGTGCTGAAAAAGTTCCACTCTCCTGGCAGAGCTATGCAGCGTAACAGAACATTTATTCAGATACTGGATCAGAAGCATGCTGAGCTGCTGTGACAATTTTTCTTTTAAAATTAGATTGAAAGTGAAAAAAAAACAACTTAGAGAGCAGACATTTCCAGTAAAATACAAAGATGAAAACCTTCTGTGTCCTAATGGAGCAAGTGTGGGGTACAAAAGGAAGCATCCTCACTGTAAGTATGGAAGAAAATGCTGATTTTTTTACATCACTGAGGAGAGACAGAACTCCAAATCTAATCTCTTAAACTCTATGAAAGAAAATCCAGACTACTCAAGCCAGATCATTCCAGGCAGAAATCAAATCTCAAAGCCAAACAAGCAATCAAAAGGTACTCTGAATGAACATGGACTGACTTAAATGATGTTTGATAAAGCAGGATTCTGGTCTGAGAAAATTTACGTGTGACTCTTGTACCTAAGCATTCAAATAGCACTGCAAATTGAGTGTGTACTACAATGGAATTTTAATGAAAACTGCCCTGAATAAAAGAAATCCTCAAATTAGCAAGAATGGCAGAAAATATTTAGCTGATATTAAGAAACCAGCCAAGACTGACTTGAGAAAACTGTTCCACAGCAATGCTCACTAGCAGTTTAAAAAAAATAATCTTTTACCAGCAGTACAACAAAGATTCTCATACAAAGTAGCAGCTATAAATATTTAAAATGTATTTTTGAATTGGAAGATATTTTCCTTCCACAATCTTTTCCCTAATTTTTAATTTAGAAAACTACCAAAGAGCCTCCTAAGTGGATTTTAGATTCAAAAGATTTTTTTAGATTACCTTGCATTGTAAACAGGCCTTGAAATCCATTCAGAACTGCTTTGTGGATATGCCACAAACTTCTGTTTCCTGTGTCTAGTTGCCTAACACAGCAGTTCCACAAGTTGTTACTGCTACCTGTCTTTCATTTCCACATCAAGTTCTGCAGGAATACAAAAGGAGGCAGAGGCAAAAGGTACAGCAGCTCAGCTCTCAGACAAGATATGCAAATTTGTTAAATCAAAACAAAAAGTCAGAATTCCTGTACCCAGGCCAAAAGGAAGATTACTGTTACTCCTTTTAAGGCCTGTTTTATTGTTAGAAACTCTACAAGATACCACTCCAGCAAACATGCAGTTAAAAACAGTAATGAAAGTGTGTTCAAAAGACTAGGGCTCCAAAAAATCACTAAATTAGTCAGGAACTATGCGAACAAATCCACAAATTTACAAGTCTGTATTTCCACTCTAAGTTTTAGGTACTTACACAACTCCATTCCTGTAAGCAGAGTCCCTAAAAAGCATTTAAAGTACTTATTCTCATAACATTCCCAGGAACAAAATGAAGTCATTTTCTTCTTTGTGTAGCTTAGTAAAGGAAGCATAAATAAATCACCTAAAAAGCACTGGAAGCCTCAAGTTAATCTCAAAGCCAAATTCAAGTCTCCCAAATTCCACATCATGGTCTCACAGTAGGGGCATTGTTACCTCAATTTAGTTCCTTCCGAGTTACAGAATACCAAAACTTGCATTTTTAATGTATTTTGTTTCCACAAACACTGAACAGTGATATTGTCAAAATATCACTTTTTTAGTGACAAAAGAATTGTCACTAAATATCACACCTTCAAACACAAAACATCCATTGGCTTGTGTCTGTCACTGAACAGCACCAGCAATAGGATTTGCCAGAGCTGGCAAATTTTCTGCCAGAGCTGCTCCTAAGATCTATTCTGCCATGTCCTATGGGATGTAAAGTAATGCTACAGCTTTGTCCTTCTGGAAGAGCAACTGCAGTGTCTCTCTTTCAGCCCACCTGCACCCACAAAACTTGGCTGTTTTGGGAATATCTACTCTTCTTTCAAACACAGTAGCAGAAGCTTCAGGGAGCAAGACAGAAAAAGCATCAGCCTATAAGCCAAAAATCTGTACAGGTCCTCCCTTCTTTCCCAAGAAGCTGAGATGAACACCAGAGCAAGGTCTCCTAGGTCTCTTGCACTCACAGGCTTCACAAAATAATATCTGTAAGTACACCTTCCCCCTTCACCCCTTGATTTTTAAATGTGGATTTGAAAAATAAAACCGTACTGGGAATTTAAACAGTCAAACCACCAGCAGGATTTTACACCAAACTTAAGTCTGATTTCTTTATTCTCAGGTGTCAAGAATTTCAAACTATTGTTAGGAGTGAGCACAAGCTGTACCTTCTCCCTCCTTCCAGGAAGGGAAAAACCCATTCCTCTAACCCAAATCTCCCAGCTGAACCTCTGCAAGCCCAGCTTCTGCCAAAGCCAACCACACAGCACTCTGTGTGGTACTGCAGAGATCTCCCTGACCTTACAGGCACTGCTCCATACCAGCCCCCTGTTTCTCCACTAGCCCAATTCTCTTTACTCATCTTAAAACCTACTGAGGAGTATCCAATCTTTCCTCCCAGTGAAGCCGGTGCAGCCCATCCTGCCCCACAGTGTATGCCCTCTGTCCCTAAGGCCCCCAGTCACCACCCTCATCCCAAATATTGGGCATCACATGGAAATGGGACTGTCACCCAGCAAGGCTTTGCACAGGCAGATCTCACCCACTTCTGGACACCCTGCAGGGCTTCCATGGGTTTTTGCCCCAGAGCAGCTACTCCCACAACTGCATCCCATCTAATGTGCCTGCTCAGAAAGGCACCACAAGCCTCAGAAGTGGCCCATGAGGTTCAACAGTTCCAAGTGCTGGTGCTGCACCCAGGTCAGGAAAATCCCTGGGGATCAGCCAAGGCTAGAGATGAGAAGATGGACCAGCCCTGGGAGAAGGACTTAGGGGTGCTGGTGGTGAGAACTGGACATACCCCAGCCACGTGCACTGGGACCCAGGTCCCCCCTCTTCTGCACTGAGCCCCCAGCATGGACAGCAGGGGAGGGTGGGGTTCTGCCCTTCTGCCCTGTTCAGGACAGAGCCACCTGCAGAGCTGCTTTGAGCTCTGGGGCCCACCACAGGAAGGACGTGGAGCTGTTGGGAGAGAATTCAGAGGCACCAAGTTGTTTAGACAGATGGAGCAGACCTGTTCCTCAGAAAGGCTGGGAGACTTGGGAGGGCTCAGCCTGGAGAAAAGCAGGTTTGGGCTGACCAAACTGATACCTTCCAGCACCTGAAAGGAGCCTACAAGGGAGACAGAGATTATTTACACCAGCTTGAATTGACAGAACAAGAGGGAATGCCTTCAGCCTGATAGAGCAGGTTTAGATTAAATGTTAGGAAGAAATTTTTCCTGTGAGGGTAGTGAGGCCCTGGCCCAGGTTGCCCAGAGAAGCTCTGGCTTCCCCATCCCTGGAAGTGTCCAAGGCCAGCCCGGATGGGGCTTGGAGCAACCTGGTCTAGTGGAAGGTATTCTCGCCCAGAGCAAGGGCAGGATGGGATGAGTTTAATGTCCCTCCGACCCAAGCCATTCTGTATCTCTAGGATATTTTATGCCACCCACGACTAAGAAACAAACACCTTTCCTCCATGCTACAGGCACAAGGGCTGATCACACCGCACTCCTCGTGGAACCCGTGGGGCAGGACAGAAGGGACACATCACCCCACATACACAAGCACAACCCCAGGAGAAGGCTGGGGGTGCAAAAGCTCCCCAGAAGCTACATGATTCACACCCCTATGGGGGCACTGAGAGCCCCTTTTCCGGCCCGCAACCGACTCCACGAGGGGCAGGACCATGCTAGGAGCCGAGACGAGTCCTGCCCAACATCCGCCGGCACCGCCGCTCCCTTGCTCCTCACTACCTGGGCTGCGCCTCCCGGAACAGAGCCGACAGCGCCCGCACGCTCTCCAGGCGAGCCGCGGGCAGCGCTCCCGCCGCCGCCGCCATCGCCCGGCCCGCCCCCGCCGCGCGGAAATGGCGGCGGGGCCGCCCCGCCCCCCGGGAGGGGCTGCGCGCAGCCGGGCGGCAAAATGGCCGCTCTGCCTGAGGGACGCCGTGCCTTTCCGTGTCTTGTTCCTTACCGGCCGCTTGCCTTTCCCTTGTTTTTCCCTTCCTCCTCCTTTTCCCTGTAGCAACCTCATCGCGCCGGCGGTTCCCATCACGCAGCTGCTGCTGCTGCGCGCCCGACACCTCGGCCCGTGTCCTCTTGGAAATACCCGTCTCAAAACAAATATTAAATGAATATAAAAATACATAAATTTCGGGAATAAATATTTCATCCTTAATATCCTAATTATATAAAAGTCGCCCAGCCTATGGCAAGGGTGTGAAACTAGACGATTGCTAAGGTCCCTCCCAGTCCAAGCACTTCTGTGATTTCTGTGAAGTAAATACTACCTTGCTCCAGGTTTTAAAATATCTTTAAATTAAATGTAACATTTTTAATATTTATTTTCTGAAAATATCGTTCAGCATTTTCTGAGCATATATGAAAAGTTTATGTGTGTGGGTGGGAAATCAGCTTCCAAAGGATGAGAAGACTAATTGTGGCCATACACTATCCAAAGCTTTATTAGACAATCATCATCAAATCACAGAATGGTTTGGGTTGGAAGGTACCCTAAAGCCCATCCAGTGCCACCTCCTGCCTTGAGCAGGAACACCTTCCACTATCCCAGCTTGCTCCCAGCCCCATCCAGCCTGCCCTTGGATGGGGCAGCCACAGCTTCCCTGGTCACCCTGTGCCAGGGCCTCACCACCCTCACAGGAAAGACACTCTTAGAGCTCAACCATCCAGCCAATTCTTATATAGATTCTAAAATTAAGTATTTTTTTCCATTACTCACAGATGCTGTATATCTTAAGCTCATCTGATCAACCTAATTTTGTAAACAACAGGCAGATTCCTTAAAGATGCAGCTTTTCCCCCAGAGAGTTTACAGTCTAAATAACATTCTTCCTAGCACTACAAGAAGGGAAACAATCCACCTAGAGCTAACTGCATCTGAAAATAAAATTATGCAGAACTTACTTTTAAGAATTCTCCATCAAATTAAGGGGTAGACTATACTCTTGAGGCAGCAGTGTTTCAAGCTGTAAACAGAGAAGGACCTGTCTTAGCTAAGATTCTGGAAGGCAATTGCTCCACTCCAGAAAATGCTGGCTCTGCAGGAGGCAAAGCAGGTTAAAGACATTGAATGTCTCCTATCTCAAATGTTGTGAGAGGGCCGCTTGTTCTAATCACAGTATGTATATTGACTGTGCCCATTTTTTTATTAGGGGCAACTTCCATCAGAAGATAAAATTTGGGCTCTGGAAAATGTTACTTTACAGTAAAGAAGCAAATCCTGCGGCATAAATATTTTATATATTTCTGGAATAAATACTAGTTTTCTAACTCTTATTTTGGGCCTGTGTTATATTAAGTATGACTTAGCCCACCCCACACAGCTTTGAAGCTGTAGACCAAAAGCTTTTATTTTTGTTCTGTTATTTTATAGGATCTAGTGAAATTGATCAATGCGCTTGGAAAAATGCTTTTCATTAGCTTCTGTTGCTAAATCTGTGGAGCACATCCTGCTATCATGCCCTCAGTTTCCTGCTTACGCTGGGAAAATTACAGGCATTCCTTGCCTTGCCAAGGAATTCTGTACACCTAAACTAAGACGAGGAAGAGCAGATCTCAGAGGAGTCAGCACCATCTTTTTAAACACCAAAGGTAAAATAGAATGCATATGAAATGAATGGTGCAGATTGTCTCGAACCCAAGAATAACTATTGTAACCTGAAGAGTTTATTTGGCTTCAGGTGAGAGGTTACACACGTGTCTGAAAGCCATAAAAGAGCAGTTACATTTGATGTTGAGATTTATGTGTCATTTGTTTCTTAGGTAAAATCATAAACAAATTTAATTGTTTATAAAAAAGAAATCCCTCCATCTGGAAAAAAACCCACAAAGCCTCAGAGGAGATGTTCAAAGCCCTTGCATTTTGTCCTGGAAACAAATGATGTCTTCTGAGAAGCAGATGCAGACGAAATGTTGTGCAAAAGTCATTGCAGGGATGCTTACCTCATTTTTTTAGATGCAGTCCAGTTTCTAGAGGCAATGAGGAATTTTGTGACTGTCATCTGCCCTTCACAAAGATTTTATGCCACATTTGCATGGAGTCGTTTTGTTGGAATCAGTATTATCCTCATCTTATTAGCCAATGGCATAAGCATATGGAAAGACACTGTCCTTGCCCTCATCAGCTGGATGAAAGGGATGCTACTTAAGATATCTGGTACCCAAAGTCTAGTTCCCTGGTAGCGTGTGGAATTTCATGGTACATGAATTTCATCTCATTTATGTACCATGTAGCAGTTGATTTATAATATGTAGAATTTAGAGTTGGGGTTTTGTCTGGTACAGAAGGAAATGCAGCTGAATTGTAAGTAGGATAGTGCTGAATTCAAGGAGGTTTTGTGTATGTTAACTTGTGTCATCCTGCAGTTTTCCCATGCTACGAGATGCCACGGAGAGGCCTCCTTCTGTTTAGAAATTTATTCTCATGGACAGAGAACATCCCTGTTACAGAGTTAACACAAATTTGGATAAAACTAAACCTTAAAAAAGTCACTGATTTTTCCTCTTCTTGAGTTTCAGGTGATTCCCCATCCCTAGAAGTGTTCAAGGTCAGGTTGGACAGGGCTTGGAGCAACCTGTTCTAGTGGAAGATGCTCCTGTCCAAGGCAGGGGAGTGGAATGAGATGCTCTTTAAGGTCCTTTGCAACTCAAACTACTCCATGATTTTATGACTGAGAGTAATACACAGTTTAACACCACTGCAAGGAAAAAAAACTCTTTACCACAGTTTAATTTCTGTAGGAATGGACAGGGATGCCCAAGGGCCTACACAAAGCAGGGAAGGACATCTCTTTCCACAGGCAGGCTGCCCTTGACACCAGTCATGAAGCTGAAGGAAAAATGATGGATGTGGGGAAAGGTGGCAGTAAGCAATGAGCTTGTAGAAATGCTGCATAGAGACAACATATCTGAAAAAAGTTCTAAGGATCTTATTTAAGGTTTTGTGATAAAGAAGGATTCTTGAGGAGGACTGTGAAGGTGGGAGCATGCAGTTACTGGTCTCCTATTGTGACCTTTTCCACTGTCCAGTGTTACTTTAAATGCTAGAAGCCAGTGTGAAAACGCTCCCACAGGCAGTGGAGTGGGAGCTAGGTTTGACAGCTGTGCCTTACAATATAGATTTCCCATATAAATACAATCAGACCTCATCTCTCATGTGAAAATCCTGGCTTTTCCTGGTTTTCATTGCAGCAACAGTCAATCACCTCTGTGCTCTATGCTGAGCTCACCTCACCTCAGGTTTTTGTGCTTCCGTGGAGTCACTCTGTGACACATGGTGCAGGGAGTTCAAGCAGACTCATTGCTTTTGCACAGTGTGGAGTCACTCTTCACATGCACATTAAACCTGCTGGGATTGCTCTGTATTTACAGAGCTCCGCATGGGAAACTCACCTTCTGGGGACTGTGGGAGCCACTGGTTAGCATTTGTGAGCAAAGTCTTACAAAATCCTGTGTGCAGTCCTGGAAATGTTATCTGCCTTCTGTTGCTTAGGAAATGTAATTAATTTGCCAAGCTTGGAGGCCAGCCTGGCTCCTTCAGATGTCTCACAAGGATGCTGTTGGAGAGATGGGAATACTTTCTGAAATTGTATCTCATTCCCAGAAAATAGAAATAAATATCTCCACTAAGGAGCAGAAATAACTGAAAAGCTCCCCACCACCAGGTTGCTCTCAGAGAGTAAAGAGGCACGTGCTTGAATATTTTTGAGGAACTCACCAGTTATATAGTCTTACTGAAGAGATGTCTCAAGCCAATGAATGGAGGAGCAAAGGGAAATGCCCATGAGGGTCCCACATTACTTGGCAGTGCTCCCATTTGCCAGCATCGGTGTACCTTATCAATTCTGAGAAATTTGCTGCAGGGAAAAAACAAGGCCTAAAAGAATGAAGAACAAGAAAAACCTATATAGTGATTCAGAGTATCTCCTATTTTGTATTACTGCTGATGCTTGGAATTGGAGAATTGTAGCTGTGATCCTGACCATGCTTCATACTAAGAAATAGAGATGAAACCCCTCCAGTTCTGTCAAAAGCCTGACATCTAGTGGTTGTAAAATACTGGGCAGCAGAACTCAGCCTAAAACCATCTGACTGTGGAATTTGTATTATTCACTGCTGGTGTAGAGTCCACTTGTTAATTTCATCTGTGAAATATAAGTTAGTCTATTCATCTTCATTGTACACTAAAGTCACAGGATACATGTCTCTTCCAGCTCAGGATAATTTATGATTCTAAATCACAATAACCTAAGCCTTTAGAAGGTTTTCCGTACGTACATACGTACACTTGGCAGCAGATAAGCTTTGTAAAGGGAGAGCAATAGGCCTGGGATGGGTATCTTCATGTTAGGAGATAAATACCTATGATGTTTGCTTTTGTAGAATTTATGGAAGACATTCTAGTGTCATCTTAAGAAATATTATTTGAGAAGATGCTACTGGTAGCTAGAAGTTGCTACATACATTATCTATTTATCTCTAAGAAGAAAATATATATAGTTATATAGAGAGTTGCTAGACTGACGGAACTGAGAAATAAAGGGTTAAACTTCAGTTCTCCAGAATCTTTTTGTTCAGATCTTTTCAATTTTTGCAGCTATAAGAAAAGCTTCAGTACTTACAAGAAAAAGTTATTGAAAATTGTGAGCATTCATTTTGATATAATGCTATGAATCTTGTGAAGTTGTAGTTAAAAATCTCAGAATTTATATTCTTAGAATTTCCCTATGCTAGCTTAATACTGGTTGAAATAAACATGCAATCTAAACTTTAGTAAAAAGTAACAAATATTGCTATTAAATAACATAATAATAGATGTTTTTTCATAAA